GTGTACGTAGTTTTTGACGGGGGGGGGGGGGGGTTGCATTTTGTATGCATTGTTTGTTAATATTATTTACGGAAGTTTGGTTATTAATGTGCGGATACCGATAACACGTTGCTTTGTAGCAAGAGTGCACCAGTGTAGCTTTTAGAACAAAGTCCAATGAAAACATTATCAATAGATGTAATCGGTTGAATCTTAAGAGGAAAACCTAAAAGCGAGTGCGATAATTTCATGTCAACAAAAGAGAAATAACAGTGAGGATATAGAATTAATGTAAAAATCCCCTTGTTATTAATATTATTTAGTCGACAGTGAGGATAAATTTTTGTCTTTGCTCGACCTATCGTTCTATCGTTCTTTGTGTTATGTCGAGGAAGAGGCAAACCCGAAAATAAAGAAGATAAAAAACACCAAATTTTAACGTGGAAAACCCTTAAAATCGAAGGTAAAAACCACGGGATCACAAAGATCCAAAAAGCTCCACTATAATAATAAGAGGGTTACAAAAGTTCTCCAAATTGGCTACACAACAAGGGCCAAACACGGAGCAACAATAGCACAAGAGCAACAACTAATCAATTGAAGAAAGAGTATAATTCACAAAAATGAAGCTGCTGTTCGAGGCTCGAAATCAGATTCTACGGGCCTCCAAATCTGATCTTCACCATTCAAATCCAAGATCAAGATGTTACGAACACTCAGTCAAAATTTCAGCCCGATCCAACGGATAACGAATCGGAAAACGTGATTTGAAGTTGGTTGGTCGGAATAAAAATTTGCAGCAAAACAAATACTTTTCTTCTCTCTTCTCTCTTGGTGAAAGCTCTCTCAAAAACCACTCTTATGTGCTTAAGTCTTTCAAAGACTTGTATCAATGAGCATAGAATAATTCTCCAAGGTTGTCCTATTTATAGATCATGAGTGGTGCTTTCTCTTAAAGCCAAAACCCACTCAAAATAGGAATAAACACCGAATCCAATTCCAAATAGGAATGGAAACCAAAAGAGAATAGGATTAGACCATTGGGCCTTTGGCTGGACAACATGGGCATGTGCCCAACAAACTCCCCCTCCAGCCAAGGGCCAAATGTGTCTTCAAGTAGAGGAACTATTGACAGGCTTCATGCCTGCCAATTTTCTGCAAAATTCGTATTTATCTGCAGCCACCGCCTTTGTCAGCATATCCGAAGGATTTTCATCAGTGTGTACCTTCTCAACCTCAAATAATTTGTCTTCCACGGCCATTCTTATCCAATGATACTTTCTATTTATATGTTTGGTCTTAGAACGAAAAGTGGAGTGCTTGGTGAGACAGATAGCACTCTGATTATCACAAAATAAGATGTACCTTGGCTGCTGAAAGCCAAGATCATTAATAAACTCCTTCATCCATAATAGTTCTTTGGCACCTTCTGTGACAGCAATATATTCGGCTTCTGTGGTAGATAGAGCTATGCACTTCTGTAGTCTAGATTGCCAAGAAACAGCTCCCCCTGCAAACGTGATCAAATAACCGGAAGTCGATTTTGAATTATCAAGATTGCCTCCTAAATCAGAGTCTGTGTAACAAACAAGTTCAGGCTTGCCATTGCCAAAGCACAGCTTCAAATCTGCAGTACCTTTCAAATATCTTAATATCCATTTTACTGCATCCCAATGTTCTTTTCCACGATTGGAAAGGAATCTACTAACAGTACCAACGGCATGTGCAATATCTGGTCTAGTGTAAACCATAGCATACATCAAGCTACCAACGGCAGAAGAGTAAGGAATACGAGACATCTCCTTTTTCTCTTCATCGGTAGATGGACTCTGACTAATACTCAATTTGAAGTGTTTAGCAAGAGGAGTACTAACCACTTTTGCATCTGTCATATTGAACCTCTTGAGTACCTTCTCAATGTATTGCTTTTGGGACAGAAATAACTCATTTCTATCTCTATATCGGTGGATTTGAATGCCCAAGATTTTCTTTGCTGGCCCCAAGTCCTTCATCGTAAACGATTTGCTCAACTGCTTCTTAAGGACTACAATTCTGGATTTATTCTTTCCAACAATAAGCATGTCATCCACATAAAGCAATAAAATAATAAAATCATCATCAGAGAACTTCTGGAAGAATACACAGTGGTCTGAAGAAGTTTTCTTGTACCCTTGTTCTTCAATGACAGATTCAAACTTCAAATACCATTGCCTTGGAGCTTGTTTCAATCCATACAGGCTCTTTTTCAATTTGCAGACATAATTTTCTTTTCCCTTAGTTACAAAACCCTCAGGTTGCTCCATATAAATCTCCTCATCTAAATCACCATGAAGAAAAGCAGTCTTGACATCCATCTGCTCAACCTCTAAATCTAGACTTGCGGCTAAGCCTAGAACCACACGAATAGAAGACATCTTCACAACAGGGGAGAAAATTTCATCAAAGTCAACTCCCTTCTTCTGGCCAAAACCTTTAACAACTAACCTCGCCTTGTATCTAGGCGCAGAGGTATGGTTATCTTGCTTTATTCTGAATATCCATTTGTTAGATAAAGCTCTCTTACCTTTCGGCAATTTCACTAACTCATATGTGCCATTCTCATGGAGTGACTTCATCTCATCTTCCATCGCTTCGATCCAATGATCTTTGTGATTATCTTGCATGGCTTCATCATAATTCTCAGGTTCTCCCATGTCAGTCAAAAGTACATACTCATCAGGAGGATAGCGCATGGATTTTTGCTTCTCCCTTGTAGATCTTCTAAGAGAGGTTTCAGGAGCATTCGTAGTAGTTACCTGTGCAGGAATTGGTTGCTGATCAACCACAACTTCATCAACTGGAGCATCCATAACATCTACACCATGATGATCATTTTGATCTTGATCACTATCTCCATCATTGTCTTGGGTTCCTTCATGTGCAATAGGTGCCTTAGCAATTGAAACTGGATCAATATCAACTAAGCTCTCATTACTCTGAGAATCTATCTTCTCAGCTTTGTCAATATCTTCAATAGTTTGGTCTTCAAAGAATATTGCATCACGACTTCTAATAAGTTTATTATCAATTGGATCATAAAAACGATACCCAAACTCATCTTGACCATAACCGATAAAGATGCACTGCTTAGTTTTGACATCCAGTTTCGATCTCTCATCTTTAGGAATATGCACACAAGCTTTACACCCAAAAACTCTCAGGTGATCATAAGAAACATCTTTGGCAAACCAAACTCTGTCTGGGACATCACCATCCAAAGCAACAGCAGGAGACAAATTGATAACATAGGCAACAGTGTTAAGTGCTTCCGCCCAAAATGTATTTGGAAGTTTAGCCTCTGAAAGTAAGCATCTAACTCTCTCAACTAGAGTTCTATTCATCCTCTCTGCCAAACCGTTCAATTGAGGCGTCTTGGGCGGAGTTTTCTGATGACGAATTCCTTGTTCCTTGCAATAGTTATCAAAGGGACCACAATATTCACCACCATTGTCAGTGCGAATACATTTTAATTTCTTCCCCGTCTGTCTCTCAGCTAAGGCCTGAAATTCCTTAAACACGCCAAGTGCTTGATCTTTAGATTTCAAAGGATACACCCAGAGCTTACGAGAATGATCATCAATGAAGGTCACAAAGTAAAGTGCACCACCTTTTGACTTTACTTTAAAAGGACCACACAAATCAGAGTGTACTAGCTCTAATAAATCGGGCTTTCTTGAGGGAGGATGGCTATGAAAGGAAACCCTTTTCTGTTTGCCAGCTAAACAATGTATGCACCTTTGCAGCTTTGCTTGTTTTACTCCAGAAAGCAAACTTTTCTTAGCCAAACACGTAATCCCTCTCTCACTCATATGACTCAATCTTCGATGCCACAATTCTGACAAACTATCACTTTCCACCAGATTTATTGAGTCATTAAGAATAGAGCCTTGTGTCACATATAATTGACCAGACTTGACTCCTCGAGCCACTACTAACGAGCCCTTGGTGAGCTTCCATTGGCCGTTAAAGAGAGCATTATGGTAACCTTCATCGTCTAATCTTCCTGCGGAGATCAAATTGAAAGGAAAGTCTGGAGCATGCTTCACATCTTGAAGAACTAACGTTGAACCATTATTAGTTTTCAAACAAACTGTGCCAACACCAAACACCTTAACTTCACTGGCATTGCCCATCTTTAACACTCCAGAATCAACATGAGTATAAGATGAGAAAAAATCTTTTCTTGGTGTGACATGTGAGGTAGCTCCAGAATCTACTATCCAGCTCGTCTCATGGGATACCAAATTGATGACGTTTTCATCATAAGCAAAAAGAAGGTCATCTTGAACAATAGCAGCAACATTGTTCTCGTTATTTTCAACTTTCTTTCCTTCTCTAGTGTCTTGATTCAACTTGCGGCAAAACCTTTTGATGTGTCTTTTCTTGCCACAGTGGTTGCATGTAATATTATAGTATTTGGACCTTGACTTACTTCTACTTTTACCTCTATTCCTTGAGCCTCTTGCTCTATCTCTCCCCCGGTCTTCTGTAACCAAAATATCTGCTTGTGAGGACGAACCCTGAGATTTTCTCCTTACTTCCTCGTTCAACACACCACTCTTGGCATATTCCATGGTCAAGAAACACGAAGAGTTTCCCAAGAGTCTGGCAGAGTATTAAGAAGCCAAAGTCCTTGTATCTCATCATCAAAATTAACTCCCATTCCAGATAGCTGATCAAGGACGCTCTGAAAATCATTTATATGATCAAGGATAGGGTTGCCTTCCTTGTATTTAAAGGTCATCAATTGCTTTAGCAAAAATAATTTGTTGTTCCCGGTTTTTGAAGCATAAAGAGTCTCTAGCTTTTCCCACAATGATCTCGCATGTATCTCGTTCACAATATGGTTGCGAACATTATCTTCAACCCATTGTCGTATATATCCACATACTTGTTGGTGCTCGAAATCCCAATCTTCATCGGATATACTCTCGGGTTTATGAGCTGAAAAAATGGGTAGATGCATCTTCTTCACGAACAACAAGTCTTTCATCTTGCTTCTCCAAACATTATAATTTCTCCCATTTAAACATACCATCTTGCTCCTATTCGCCTCCATTCCGTAACAACCCGGATAAATAACCAAGGCTCTGATACCACTATTATGTCGAGGAAGAGGCAAACCCGAAAATAAAGAAGATAAAGAACACCAAATTTTAACGTGGAAAACCCTTCAAATATAAGGTAAAAACCACGGGATCATAAAGATCCAAAAAGCTCCACTATAATAATAATAGGGTTACAAAAGTTTTCCAAATTGGCTACACAACAAGGGCCAAACACGGAGCAACAATAACAACAAGAGCAACAACTAATCAATTGAAGAAAGAGTATAATTCCACCACAACATAATGCATTTATAGATACAAAACACAACGTAGCTAATTATGAAAATTTCCGTAACTAAACACTTTAGCCACAATATTTTTTTTCGTAGCATTCGTAGCAAAATGTAGCGTAGCTAAAAGTTAGCTACAAACTTTATATAACCTGTGGCTAAGGATTAATACTTATTGCTACAAAAATTTTGTGTTGTAGCTATATTCATAGCAAATAGTTTTATACTTTTGCCACGACAAATATATTTATAGCAAATCATTTTATACTCTTCCCACAATAAATTAATTTGTAGCTATTATGGTAGCTACAAAGTGATATAGCGTGGCAAAAGTTTTAAATTTATTTGCCACGGAAGTTTTGATATGTAACTGCAAAAGTATTTTTGTTTAGCCACGGACAAAAAGTTTCATGGCTACAAATCATACAAAAAAGTTCGAGATTAAATTGCTTTATTATTAATTTTTTTTACGGAATATTAATTTTAGTAGCAATGAAAGTTCTGATCACCCTGCTTATTCGCTATTTTATTTTTGTCTATATTTTCCAATTATCCTATGAATGTACATGTTATATTAAAACTAATAGTAATAATATATTATATTGAGACATGACTTATTCTACACAATTTAACATGTAAAAATTTTCACCAAAAAAAATTCTAAGATACACATTTATATTAATCAATTAATAGCATCTGCAGTACATAACTCTTTTATAGTAACTAAAATTTGACGAAAAGAACTAGCCGATGTGAGGCTTTATGGTAATAGAGATCTGAAATAATGTACGATATTCCATATAAACGAATATAAGCATTTGCTTTATGATTCGTGTTGTCACCCCCGTTTGATCTTGATGCTTTATATTACCACTCTCATCGCAGCTGTTGATCTTTATGAATCCAAGAATATATGAAGCCCTCTTCAAACTAGACTGAAATATAAAATAAAATAATCTTGTAAAAAATTTATATTTGAATTATCAGAACATATACCAGTTAGATGCATTTACAGTTAATAAGAAAAATTCAATGAATCATGGAATAAGAAAAATTTATCCATGTATCTGGTTAAAAAAACTAAACTTTTTTCAACACAAAAAGAAAAAAAAGCATTTAAATAAACATCATAAAATTTAAGAAGATGAGAAAAAAACTTACGGTTTGGCATTGATAATACAATTTTTCAAAGGAACTTTTCTCTTGAGCATCTTGTAAATTAAAAATAAATAATTGAAGTAGAAACACAAGTCAATTAGGTGTAAGGTACAAAATCTATCAAATCTGCACTCAGCACTTATCAAAAAATAAGTCGTAATATTTATCAAATTGCTGGTATAACCCGTAAAATTAAACTAAAAATCCCAAACTCAAGTAGGCGTAAAAAGATTCAAAAATATTATGATATGGAGACATGAGCTTACCGGGGAAGAGACGAACCAAGAAATTAAACTTTCTATCCATAAATGAAGATCGCAATGGGGATACACTCTTGTTGATCCTTTTGTCTTTCTCGCAGCCTTGAATTGCCGACTACTAAAAGTAAAAGAAAGAAATAACAAAGTGTGGGAGGGAGAGTGACGGCTAGGGTGAGGATGATTAGGTTTTGGTTTAGGAATTTTAGTTTGTGTTTCTTTTTCTATATATTTTGTTTTATTTTACTTCTTAATACTACCATAAATACAAGGGGGGAAATACAAATACCATAAATGCAAATAATGGTAAAAAAAGTACCTACAATAAACCAAAAGAGTTACATTTAACTATAGAAAAAAATCAACTATTTGCATGAATTAAAGATATTGTAAAATATTTTTTTCTTTACCGCTTTTCTATCCTAGATGATATTGTTTGTTTTATTATACGTTCATATTTCAATAATATTAACTTCTTCATTTTTAGTTTTAAGTTAGATTTATGATAATTATTAAGTTATTAAAATACTATTAGATCATTAAATCAATAACTTTAATACTTATCTAAATTGAACATAACTAGTAAGCAATATAGATATATACAAGAACATAATTGATTAAATGTAAGTTATTCATATATTTTAATTTAACTAATTATAATTATACTTTTTAAAGTATATTTGAAACTTTCAAGTAATATTTTGTTTAGAATGAATTATGATATTTATTATTTACCAAAAAATAAATTATGATATACCAGTTTGTTTTTTATACACCCCCTATATTAAGTTCTTAGCTTTTATACGAAATAAATTTAACAATGGTAAAAATATGTAACTATTTTTAAATACAAATTGTACTCAAATATAAGAATAATAATAGTGAAAATACTATTATTCTTAAATACAAATAATATTCACAATAGAGACAAGATCTCCTTCATGTATAAGGATAATATTAAATTTTCGATTCTTAGATTCAATGTATAATTTAACTTATGATAATTAATAGTTGTTAAGATAGTAAACCAATATCATTATAACATATTTTACTGTCTATAAAAAAATATAATTTAATCTTTTTCTTCATTAAGATTATCATTATTTTCTTGTGGTGTTAAATATGCTCCTTGTATATATTGGGAGCCTCTGGTCATTATCAAAATAAAATGCACCAACCCTCTCCCAAAAAAGCTCTTCAATATATGAGCACTTACTTTAGAATGACTTCTTAAATATATGATTAAGTGCTTTAAAAATAATTAAGGACCATAATATTACAAAGATTAAAGTTTTCAATATGAATATCTTTTTAGAAAATGTAAGTATACTTATTTAAAAATAATAAACTGTATACATAAATAAATATCTACAACTATTAATAATAATTTAAATTTACATAAAAAATTATATAATTAACAACAAGTGCAATCAAATAAAATATGAGTTTGATAAATCTAAGAAGTCAATTTGTGTCATGACCCTGACCACGAACCCGGTCGTGATGGCGCCTCTCGTGAAGACAAGGCCAGCCAATTGAACCAATTCTTATTTTTAAACAATTAAATAGCATAAAATTAGTCTAACCATGATTTAATAGCATTAAATAGCGGGAATACAGGTAACAATGCGGAAATCAACCCGACGCAGCCCTAATCGGGGTGTCACAAGTCACGAGCATCTATAGACCACGATACAAGTCTGCTAAATCCAATATCTATTACAAGTGTTTGAAGGACATAGAAATGACAAGATAATAGAGACACGGGGCTGCGGACGCCAACAGCTACCTCGTAGTCTCCGAATACCGCCTGGAACTGGAGGAATCAGCACTCAGGAGCGGAACCAGCGAGGCCTGAATCTGCACACACGGTGCAGGGAGCAATGTGAGTACTCCGACCCAGTGAGTAACAAATATAAATAATGACTGAAGGTAAGAAATCACATAAAGCACAAGGCATTCTATAATGAAGCAGTAAAACATCATTTGAAAACAGTAAATCGGTGAAAAATCCAGTAAAATCTCCTTTCAACAGGTACAACAGGTAAATAATATAAAGTAAACAGATAGAAGTTCGCCCCTCGGGCTCAGTATCCACAAATCCGCCCCTCGGGCTATATCTCAGTACAGTACCAGCCCCTCGGGCTCAATCTCGTATCACAAATGGGTACCCGCGCTCACTGAGGGCGTACAGACTCCGGGAGGGGCCCCTTACGGCCTAAGCGCAATAACAAGCCATCTCGTGACATCAAATCTAGGCCCTCGGCCTCATATCAATCAAGCCACCTCGTGGTGTATATGTATCTCAGGCCCTCGGCCTCAAATCAGTATCAGTGTTCCTCATAATATAGGCCCTCGACCTTACTCAGTCCAAAAATTATCACAAGCCCCTCGGGCAATAGTAAAACAGTATTTTCAGCCCAAACATCATTTAAAATATCCTTTAAGTCTTAAAAACTGAGAAAGAATGGCTGAATAGTAAAACAGTGGAAATTATCAGGACTGAGTTCAAGTAATAAGTCAAAATAGTGAGGAAATAGTAATAAAAATTCCCGATGGGTTCAAATAGTTGGCACGAAGCCCAAATATGGCATTCAGCCCAATCATGATGATAGCAAATAAGTTTCAGTCAAATATTCGGTAAAATCATCAATCGGGACGGACCAAGTCACAATCCCCAATAGTGTACGACCCCACGCTCGCCATCAAGCGCGTGCCTCACCTCAATATAATACTACGATGTGCGAATCCGGGGTTTCAAACCCTCAGAACATCATTTACTATCATTACTCAACTCGAACCGGCTAAATCTCTAGCTCGCGACGCCTTTGCCCCTCGAATCGGCCTCCACGCGCGTCAAATCAATCCAAAATCAGAACGAGGGCATCAGAATATGCTAAGGAAACAAAGCCCAAGCGAAAACAATCAATAAAGGGCACAAATCCCTAAATTAGCAATACCCGACCCCCGGGCCCACTTCTCGAAACTCAGAAATTTTCATATCATTAGATTCCTCGTCTCCCCACGAGTTCATTCATATCAAGAATACAAGAACGGAGTCCAAATCACCCCTCAAATCCCCATTTAGAGGTCTCTTAAACTCAAGCCCTAATCCTCCATTTTTAGCCCTTTAATCCCTTTGATTATAGCTTTAATCCATGAAATACTACCATAGAAATGTGTTTTAGGTCCACGAATCCTTACCTTAACGAAGTTCCCTTGAAATCCTCCTTCCAAATCGTCCAAAAGCTCTCAAGCCGAAGTTAAAAATGGTGGAATAGCTCAAACTCACGAAGGGAAATAACTTATATGATTTGCCCAGTCCTTTTCGCATCTGCGGCACCATAGCCGCTTCTGCGGTCATTTCTCCGCATTTGCGGAACTCACTTAAAGGTCCAAAATCGCATCTGCGATAAGCGATCCGCACCTTCGACTCCGCAGGTGCGGTCCCACACCGCATCTGCGGTTCCTGGCAAGGTCTCAAAAATCCGTTTCTGCGATTCATCTCACGCACGTGCGGCGCCGCACCTGCGGTCCCCAAACCGTAGGTGCGAAAACACCAGAAGCAGCAATATCAGCTGCTGCACCAACTCTCCAATCTCTCCGTTAACCATCCGAAATCAACCCGAGGCCCCTGGGACCTCAACCAAAGGCACCAACATACCCTAATACCTTATTTAAACTTGTTCCAATCATCAAAACACATCAAACAACACTAATTCAACCAAAACACCTCGGATTCAAGCCTAAGTTTCCAAAAACTTCCGAATTCCGCTTTTGATCAAAAACCCAACCAAACCACGTCATTTTGTTTAGCTACAACATTTTGTTTCAAATTCCGCTTTTAAAGCAATGTATTTCTTTAGCTACAACATTTTGTTTCAAATAATTTATTGTAACTAAAAGGTTACTATTGCTACAATAACTTTTAATGCATGGCAAAAATATAAAATTTGTAGCTATTTAGATAGTTATAGCTACGATTGTTATCAATTATAGCAAAAATGAGGAATTAGCTTTACCAATTTAATTTTCGTGGCTAGCAAATTTTACAAATTTGTAAATAGCCAGAAAATTCTAATTTTTGTGGCTATTGTTAGATATTAGCCACGATTTTTAAATTCGTAGCGAGGATTTCGTAGCTATAAATACATTGTATTGTAGTGTTCACAAAAATGAAGCTGCTGTTCGAGGCTCGAAATCAGATTCTACGGGCCTCCAAATCCGATCTTCACCGTTCAAATCCAAGATCAAGATGTTACGAACACTCAGTAAAAATTTCAGCCCGATCCAACGATTAACGAATCAGAAAATGTAATTTGAAGTTGGTTGGTCGGAATAAAAATTTGCAGCAAAACAAATATTTTTCTTCTCTCTTCTCTCTTGATGAAAGCTCTCTCAAAAACCACTCTTATGTGCTTAAGTCTTTCAAAGACTTGTATCAATGAGCATAGAATAATTCTCCAAGGTTGTCCTATTTATAGATCATGAGTGGTGCTTTCTCTTAAAGCCAAAACCCACTCAAAATAGGAATAAACACCGAATCCAATTCCAAATAGGAACGGAAACCAAAAGAGAATAGGATTAGGCTATTGGGCCTTTGGCTGGACAACATGGGCATGTGCCCAACACTTTGCATGTCTTTATTACCTTAATTCTTTAACGAAACATATATATGCGCCAAGGAAATACTACTTGAAAATTTCAATTGGCAAGTAAATTCTGATACAAGTCTAGAGTTCTAGCATTTTCAAAGTGATAGATATCTGATTGCATTACTAAGTTACGTGTAACCATTCACAACCCTAAAACCCATATTATTGCAAGATTTATTAAGCATCAATATATATAATTAGAGTAGAGAAACTTCTTATGACCTTCTTGATTCAGGTGTGGACCATGTGATTAGGTAGGGTTCAGGTATCTAAACACATGCTAGCAATCCAACTTATATGTTACTATCATCCAGATATGTTTTAAAATATTAAATTATAGTAGTATTAAAGTATAAGGCATCAGATCAACATGAATACATGATTAACCTAACCTAATTATAGTAAGAATTAAGTACTATTACTTTTTAAGCGTAGCATCGTTCGATGTTGCTCTTTGCAAGAATAGTGGGCTTCATGTTATTGGTAGATACGAAATCTTATCAAATATGCACTTCTAATTTTTTAAAACATATTTTAAATTATATGAATGGATT